TTTTTGATTGTATCTTTTACTTTGGGAATCTAATTTTTGTGTTCTCAATATATTATTGATATTAGTTGCCTGTTCAGGGAATAGCAGCAAAATTATTCCATTATATGTGAAATATATCAGACATGAAACTGAAATATTATATCACTCTTAGGGGTTGGGGGTCACTTGCCTCGCAAATGCAAGGTCCTGAGTTCTATCCCAGGTACCAAACAAAAAATTATATCACTTCTCTTATCTGAGAAATAAAATTAAATAAAAAGAAAACTAAAAAAATATAGAAAATAGGAAACTAGATCATACATCTTTTGTAAAAGGGAAAAGGACAAAGAAATGGAGTAAAGGAGAGAGGGAAAGGAATAGAATTGGATAAAATGAATTCAATGGTTTATATTCATGCACCAATTCCTCACAATGAATGTAACCATTGAATACTTCCAACTCTAATAATAAAAATAAAAACTGAAAATTCTAAAAATAGAGTCCACAAAGGGCCAATTGAGCATCTCTAGAGACAAAACCAAGAGCGTGCTGTTTCTACAAATTAGTCTGAAAACAGCAAGGGGATATCAACACAGGCCAGACACAGACCTCCCTTTAGAGCGTCCACGACCAGCAGAGGGCGCTGCGGACCCACTGAATACCAGGAAATGTCTCAGGAGCAGGTGCAGTGAAGGAAGCTGGGGAGTGACGGCTTCCTGTCAGCCTTTGTGGCTTTCTCTCAGTCTTAACATCATATGACCTGAGGAAACCCCGCAACTCCTAAGCTGCAGATGACTTATGAAGTAATCATGTTCCAAGTAAAGACTGTTAAACTTAATTGCATATGTATATATTTACACAATTACTTTCTTCATCTCCTAAACTTGGATTTTACTAGATGAGTAAATATGACTTGCAGGCAGTTCAAAGTATTTTGTAAATTTAGGGTTTAGATTTCTTTTGGATGCCAAATCTTCATCATCTAAAAATGAATCTGATAATTTTATCCCCATGAAAAGGACATGTCACATGCAGAAATAAATGCTTGAGATTACGGAATTAAATCCTTCACATCCTTTCCACAGGGTCGGAGAACATACACCTCTCTCTCACATAGGCCACTTTAGAAGATCTTGTCCTCGAGATCAGCACCAGCACCATATGGAGCACTGTGTTCAGGGGAGCAGGTAATAGAGGCAACCAGACTGGACTGAGGGCAGTGTCCAAAGGCCTCAGTGAACTCTTGTGTTCATGTTTTCAGAACAGGAGTAGGGACTGTACTTTCTTTATGGAACTTAGAAATAGGGATTTGTAACATTCTATCTTTGGACATTTTGTTCTCCCTTTTCCCCTTCCTCCTCCTCCTAATTCCTCATTCCCTCCCTCTCAAGTTTCAATCTATATATCAGCGAAGTGATACAGAATATTTAAGATGAAATACTCCTGTATCATAATACTAATTTTTCCTTAACATATTCTCATAATTTCTTTATTTTATCTCAGTTAATTCTGTATTGATCATTCAAATTTGTATTCCTAAACTTTCCTTAAATACTCAAACAAATATCTATACTTAATAATGTCATCCATATTTTTATGGATTTCTGTAAACCAGGTATAGGTTGAGCGGAAGGATGTCATTTGCACACTCACCCACCACATAGTTATAGTTTCTGAGGGCAGAGCTGAGAAGTCTTCACACATAGACCACTACACCGCAAATGTTACCATGGCCTTCATGAACACTCATCCTGGGGATTAAATGGATTTCCGCCTCCTCAACCAGCTCTGCAGCACACCTGGAGCACAATCACAGCTGCTGTATCTTGTATTTAAGGACTGAGTATTTCTGTATGAAATGATGCCTCTGTTATCTCTAGCTCAGGATGAGCACATCTGCCAGAATATGCATCACTTGACTTGTTGCCAGATCTCCACTTAGGCGTTCTGTAATCCAACTTCCTCATGATCTCTGAAATCTATAAATCTCATGAATTTCCTTCCATTTCCTTTTTTGTGTAATTGGGTGTTCAGTCATGTGTGTCCAAATGTCATTTTCAATTAGTGATCTTAGAACCCAGACTGAAGAAAGGATACATATTTGGCCACTGGAGGCACTTCTGGATTTTACTGAAACCTGTAAATACATAGAAAATTATTACCCACATATTCAAATCTACAACAATCTGGAAAAAATAAACATCTTGTTTTTCATGGGCTCATGAAAGAAATGAAATTGTAGGTTGAACAAACATGAAGAAACCTGGAGAGTCAGGAACATGCATAATCACAGATGAGCCCTTCTTCCTGGCTCAGAAGGAGTTCAGGAAACACAATGGAGGAAACACTGATGGGGATATGATGGATGGCTGGAGAACCGAAGAGGACTAAGTTGACAATGAGTGCTCCTGGGGCAAACATCACACTTGTTATCTCCAAAGCCCTGAGAATCTCAAGCAGAGGATCCAAGTAGATCCCTCAGGGCTCACTGAGAAATGGACCCAGAGCTTTGTCCAGTTAGACACTCAGAGAAAGACTTTTCCAAAACTTACCCTTCTTTGAGAACAAGAATTTTCCTACATGCAGACCAAACAATGATCATTCTAGTATGACCTTTAGGACTCAAAATAATTTATATGACAAATAAATTAAAGGAAATACACTGTTCCCCAGAAATGAACATATGTCAAGAGAAAATGCAACATACCCTTGATCATCCTTGTGAAGGTCAGGAGAACAGGAAATCATAGAGAATTCATCATGAGAACAAAAATTTCCCATGGTCAAGAACACCAATGTGATGAGAGTGGATTAGAGGCAAAGAAGCTGCATGACCCTTGTCCATCTGAGACAACTTGGTGAAGCCAAGGGGCAGAGAGCAGAGGAGACAGAGGAGAGGAAAGGAGAGCCCTGTCAGACCTCTGTCTTCACTAGCTGCCACACACTGCTCACATCCAACAGGGCCTCATGCTCATTTCTTCCTCTCCCCTTGGGGTCCTTTGTAAGGTTTGTTCTGCTCATGGGACATCTAAAACATCAAGGTGCAGTCTTGTTTTGCACCTACATTCACAACCCCAGGATGACACAAGATAGATCCTGAAGGGAACTAGACACAACCCTGGGAGACTCAGGGATGACTCTGTGTCCATGTCTGCTGTGGGTTTGGAGGGCATGAGGGGAACAAAGCAGCAGCTAGAAGCCACCAGAAGAGCACTGTGACCTTACTGTTGTCAAATTGTCCTGTAGAACCTCAGTGTCCCTCATGGAGATGAAGCAGCTCTCCAGGCTGCTGCTGACCCAGACAGGTTTCCTTGACACTACATCACCGGGGTCACTGGGCAATATTGTTGCCTCCCAGTTTGTTTCCTCCAGGGTGTCCATTATACACATGGGGCTTTAGTAGATGCCAAGGGACACATAGCCTCCTGTGATTGTCCTCAGCTGCAGCCCCAGGCTCATGTCCTTGGTGTTATTTGCAGTATGGGATCTTGATGCTCAGGCTTAGAGGATCGATGAAAGTGAGCCCCAGGGCCCAACCAAGGTGTGGAGGAAACATTGTCACCATCTCTTGTGAGAGGCACTGAAGGCCATTTGAAAAGTTTGTAGCCTGGAATTCCTGATCCAGGTCTTGCTGGTGTCACCCTAATTCTCCTCAGGTCACCTGCAGTTCTTGCTGGGCCATTCAACACACAGGCTCTTCCATGGGTGACATTAATGTTGCTTGAGCTGTGCTGATTCAGCCAGGAGGCTGCTCTACTTTGGAGCCATGATAATTGACATGAGGAGTGAATCCTGCTATGGAGCCCACCTGCCCAGCTGATCAGGGACAGGTTCCTACATGTGTACCTACTGGGAGTTCTAGGCCCATGCCACTCAAATAGGTCCCCAACATCTCTGACCCTGGTGTAGATCCTACATAAGCTTGATTGTGCTCCAGAGGCCCTGTGCAGAGTTCCCTTTGCCCACTAGCTTCTCAGCAAGGAGACCAGAAGGATAGGTCCAGTAGAATCTGCCTCACATGGCCCACAAAGCCAGGCACTGATGCATGTGCTGGATGGGAGGACGCTCTGCAGGCCACAACTTTCTTGTCACTTGCAGGTTCAGAGAGTTGTGTAGACAGTGTGGACCCTGCTTAGTCCCAGGATCATGTATGCTTTTTGCTACAGATAAAGTGATTCTCAAACCCAAGTGTAAGGCAGGTTCTGAATATGAGTGCAGGGTAGGTGTGGATGGCTCATACTCAACTGCAACAACCATCTGTGTTGCAGCCTCATGGGAGGGTTGATGAGGAGGAGAATTGAGCTGCCCTGGTGCCTGCTAGTGTCCCCTGATCACCCAGGGGGATCAACAGACCTTTGTCAGGGAAGCCCCAGCTTGGTTCTCACTTCCCAGCTCAGGTCTCCCTGAGAGTAACAGGGTCAGTAAGAGACCTCAACTCTCGGATGTGGGTCAGAAGATCAGGATCTCCCTGAAAGAGCCTCTGAAGCAGATTCAACACTTTGTTGTGGGATGGAGGCACTGTAGAAAATTTCCTGTGACCCACACAAGGACCTGCCTGTTGTTGGGGAGAAGCTGGGTGCTCAGGACCCACCTTGCAAAGCTGCAGTTTAGGAGCAGGTGTGGAAGTTTGAGTGGGTTCCACCAGGGCCTGATTCCTCCCATTTCAAAAAATTATTCAACATTGGAAGATTATAAAGAATATACATGTTTGATAAATGTCTTGGTTGATTGGCTAAATTTATTTAAGTCAGACATACAAAAGGAGCGATAAATATGAGGCAAGGTTAGTACACATAGATTTTAAGGAAGTGGCAGGAGTTACATTCCATCAGATCGGGTAAGGACATGACACCAGCACCATCCTGCTGCATGGCCCATGTGTAACTACTTCCTCCATCTCAGGTTGGATCAGGTCTAGAGTTAAGAAGTTTCCTGCCTCATGAATATGCAAATAACCTGAGTCAGCTGAGGTAAATATGTATATGTCTGTGCCACAGAGCAATCCACAGCCATCACCCTCTCTTGCAGAATCCCCCAGAGCACAGTTCCTCACTATGAACTGGACCTGGAGAATCCTCTTCTTGGTTGCAGCTGTGAAAAGTAAGGCAATCCACAGTCCTAAGGCTAAGGAAAGGACCAGAGCCTGTCAGGGGGCACTGCCTCCAACTTCTGTCTTCTCTCCACAGGTGTCCATGGCCAGGTGCAGCTGGTGCAATCTGGGGCTGAGGTGAGGAGGCCAGGGGCCTCTGTGAAGGTCTCCTGCAAGGCTTCTGGCTACACCTTCACAAACTACTTCATGCACTGGGTGCAACAGAGTCCTGGACAGGGGCTGGAGTGGATTGGGCGGATTGACCCTAGTGATGGAGAAACTAAATATGCTCAGAAGTTCCAGGGCAGGCTCAGCCTCACTGCAGATACCTCCTCCACCACAGCCTACATGGAGCTCAGTGATCTGAGGTCTGAAGACACAGCCATGTATTACTGTGCGAGACACAGTGTGGTGAGCCACATCCTGAGTGTGTCAGAAAGCCTGAAGGAGGAGCAGCTGCCTTGGGGTTGAGGGGACAGGGATGATGAAGCTGAAGACTTAGGTGAAATAATTAAGGATAGGAGTGCCAGAAATGGGTAAGTACTCTAATCACACCACAGTCCCTCTACATGCCAAATATAAGAATAGAGAAATCTTACAATTTATACTCTCTCTCAAGCAATGCCATGAGGGTATTTGTGTAGACAAATATTTCAAATCAATTGGAGAAAAAACTAAAAACGAAGTTCTTCTACCACATGACAATGTCCTGTTTAATTTGTGAAAACTGGCAAGAATGTCTCCCAGAATGTGTCAGTTATTTCTGATCAGCAGAATTTACTTATTGTGCAGGTTTATGTTCACAGAATCCTAAGGAGAAAGTACAGAGGTTTCCCTTGAGTCTCCATCCCCACATGCACAACCTGTCCCAGCACAGCGCCCTCACTGTGGTCTTTCTGTGTTCTGGCATTGGACTCTCAGTGACACAGCATCATCTTCAGTCATGGCTCTCACACGGATTCACTCCTTGGCATTCTGCGTGTTTGGACAAATGCTTAATGACATGTTTTCACCACATTATCATCTGTGTCATACTTGTTTGGGTGACTATCAGGAGCAGGACTGATAGACTCTGGGGTTCAAAGGCGCCCTGCAGAGAGGCAAGAGATGGAGGTTCTGACAGGAGGAGTCCTCACAGCTGAGCACCACTGAGGAGTCCAGGTGGCTGTGTTGCCTCTTGGGCTCATCCTTGAGAAATCTTCGTGTTCTCTGCTGCACAGATGGCTGTTGCTGATGTCGCCTATCCTGATTCATCTTTTTAACTTTCTCTAGATATCCAGCTGTGCCTACAATCAATCTTAATCCAGTGAGGAGAGCTGAAGGGGATGGAAGAATCCTCATGAGGTATATGAGAACATAGGTTTTCGGCTCAGTTGAGTGAACTCCTCAGTTGCCTCCCTCCATTACTATCTTCACCTCCATAAGCTATCCCCCAAATGTCTTCCACAGTGGAGGAGCCATTTTGCTTTCCCAATAGCAGGGAATAAGAGTTCTGTTGGCCTTAACCGCCTCAGGATTCTGAGGTAAATATTTTGTTCTTAGATTTTCTAAATGATGGGTATCTGATGATCATGTAAATACACATTTTCCTAAAACCCACATAAAATATTTTTCAAGTAGCCCTAGATATTCTCTTCCATTTATATCTTTATTGTATTATTAAGGTTTTTTTTATTCTGTCTTACAAGGTCCTAGTAATTTTTGCAACAGACCCTTTAAAAATTATGCAATTATCACGTTTCTGAATCTGTGGCTTGTCTTTTCACTCCTTTAGATTTACTGTTACACAAAAATTTTAAAATTGTTCATGAAGTAATATTTATCACTTACATATTTAAAATGTTGTGTTATTATATTGTCATAGTCTTTTGTCTTTCCTTGATAATATGTAAGGATTTGCAAACCTCCTTATTTATCTGTTCTCCATTGTTATATATCTTTTGAGAATCTTGAGATCTTTTACAGTTTTTAAAGGGATCATTTGTTTATTTGTTTATTAATTGAAACCAAAATATGAAATTTCTTTTTATGATGGATGTTTAACTATTATTAGATATGTGAAAATCAAATATTTTGCCTCCTCTCACAGGTAGTCTTAGAAACAAAGTAAAGAATAAAGCCTATGTTAATTTTAGTGTTCTTTAATATTCATATGCAATGGCAATGAAGATTTTATGGAACAAAAACTTTCATAATTAGAACTTCCTTACAATTAAAACCTGATCTATGCAAGACACCACTATGGAAAGGGAAAACAATGCAAGACAGATCTGGTGAAGAATTTGTGTCCAAATCAAGAAAGATGCTGTAAAATTACTAATAAGAAAACAAGATAAATAAAATAGGTAAAATATCTGGGAACACATTACTAAAGAAGATACAAAAATGACCAATAAGCTCTTGAAAACTTAATTCTTGTCATTTGTAGTTAGGAAACTGAAAAGAAAATAACAAACAAAAACTATGAAATGTATTGTAATAGATCCAATCCTGAAATGCAAATACCCAGCTGCTGACTTGCTGAGCTGAAGGAACTTACTCTTGATAGGTGGGAATCTACATGTTGTAACAGCATGAAAGACAGTGTGGCAGAGTTTGCAAAGCCAGACCTCTTCATACAGCACAAATCAGTGAACTTGCTCTAGGTATTTATGCAACAAGTGTGACAACAAGGGGTGGGAGAGGATGTGAGAAGTTGACCAATGAGTACCGAGAAATAGCGGGCACTTAGGGGCAAGAAGCTCTGCTGTGCCATTGCCTCATAAGGCAGCATAGATAACAACACTGTCCCATATATTTCACAAATCTGGGGGAGGGGAGTTTGAATGCTTCACTATAACATAATGAAAATTTCTCAAGAATGTAGACAACTTTAATGTAAACACCAGGCAATGGAATGATACATCACATGGCACCCCTATATGTCCTGTTAGAGTACTATTAAGTGCTAGTAAAAAGAGAATTCAAAATAAACCAAATTGAATAAAAAGTAATATTCACCAGAAAAAAATTGGCAGGAGAATTTTCACAGCTGCTTCATTCACATCTGTCCCATACTGAAAAGAAAGATGTCATTCAATAGGTTAAAGGATAAACAAACTCTCATACAAACACAGATTAGAATATTCTTTATAATTAGTCATCTTTTTAAAAATAGTGTAGTTCAGCTCTCTGGAATAGCCAACTTAGGATTGAGAGGTTCACTCAAATTTTCAGCTTTATTAAACATGAATATAGGATTTTGTTCCTATGTCAACCTTCTTATCATTTTGTTTTAATTTTAGGAGTTCGTATGATTTTTACTATCATAAATATAATCACAGACCAGGATTATTTCAGTCATTTTCTTATTTTTCTGTTACTTGTCAGAGCTGGTTTGGAGACTTGTTCCACGAGTCCTAGAAGTGGGACTGCATTTATATCTTGGAGCCACTTCCAAAAGACTTTGATGAGAAAAGCTGCATGTTGCCAGGACTTCATCTCTGGAGTGATCTTAAAGGCAGCTGGCCTTTTCATTTTCAGCTGTTTTCCTTCCCTCTTCTTTTTTAAAATTTTATTTTATCGGTATATTTTAGGTGTACAATATAATGACATTATTGGAAATTTGCACCTTTACGTAATCTCTCTTGGTTCTTATTTTTCCCCCTTCCCATGCCCTCCCTTCAACCCCTCCATCCCGCCCTATTTACAAAGCCTTTGTTTCCATTTTTCCATTTTCTCATATTAATTCAATTCCCTTCTTTCCTTTCCCCTACCCCTTCCACTTCCCTTTCTCCTTTGCCCCTTTTCTTCCTTTTTTACATTATCTATTACACCTTTTAGACCTTATTTACACTTTCAGTTTCTCACACTAGAGAAACTATTCAGTATTTACACATGTGTCCTCTTTATTTCACTTAAGAGTATTGCCTCAATGTGCATCCATTTAGCTATAAATGTCTCTAATTTCTCTTTTTTTATGGCTGAGTGCTACTCCATTTTATTAAAAAAAAAAAAAACAGCACACATTTTCTTTACCCAGTCTCCAGTTGATGGACATTTGGGCTGCTTCCAAGTTTTAGCTATTAAAAATTGTGCTGCTATGAACATGGGTGCACATATATCACCGTAGTATGATGCTTTTAATTCTTTGGGGAAGATCCCCAGTAGGAGAAGAGCTGGGTCAAATGGGACTTCCGGTCCTAGTTCTTTGAGGTATCTCCATACTGATTTCCAGAGTGGTTGCACCAGTCTACACTCCCACCAGCAGTGGAGCAGGTTTCCTCTTTCCCCACAGCCCTGCCAGCATTTGTTATTGGTTGATTTCATGATAGCAGCCATTCTTTCTGGAATGAGGTGG